AATATGCCCATAGCAAGTGAGCGGACAAAGTCCATGGGGTTATGATATGCATGCTGCTTAAATGTTGCTTAAGAAAGCCACGATTTTGATCCATGAGTAGCCCTGAAATCAGAATTGACGAAAAAAGAGGCCCACAGAGCGAAAACTCTGGCCCCTGCCGTAACATCCATGTACTTGGCAACTACCCTGTGACTAGACGCGATCACTTCTGTCGCGTTGGAACACTGCAGGGATGCCATATCCACTGCGTTGCGAATAAACACTACGCTCGGAATAACACAAATTTATATTTAAGCCACCACACGCCCGATGCCTTTCGCTGAATCCGCTTCTGCCTCGCCCGTTACCCGCCACGGCAGCGCTTGCGCGTTTAGCGTGGAGCACAGGGCCAGTGATGGACTGGTAGCTATCATATCGGCAAACCTGAACGATATCGGCAGCCGAGCCATCGTCAGTTAATGGCGCTCATTGAGATCCGCTTGTGGTGATTCAGTCTTGACCGAACATGGGAACTCTGGTTAGTTATCATCCACGTAAGGGCACTACACGATGCCCTTACATCAGCTTTTAGCAATGGGAAGCATTCTTCCAGCGCTTGCTCTCTAAAAGACCATCACTCTCTGTGGCACGTCTTTCACTTATTAAATCTGAACCTACCTCTTCACAATAAACGGTGCCAAAATTTTGTCGACATGTGAAATTGATGATAAAGAAACTTTTGCCACCTTTCAGCGCTCAAGCTGCGACGGTTTGACGATGTGGTAGGAAATGCCAGTGGTGATCAAACTGCCCTCACCAAGGACGAGAACGGTGGTTTGGATGTGAGTTGCATGATCTCCATTATTTCCAACGGTTTGCGTGATGTAGCTCATGCTTGCCTCCTTGCAACCGTGTGCGGTCGGCCGGTCGTGTGCAGACCTCGCCTCGGGGCTTATGAAAGTTTGATTTAATTGATCATCCAAAGATCAGAACCGTGTGCATGTTGTGGTCTGCTTCGTGATTCTGCAATCGTGCTGACAATACTGTATTTCTTGCTCCAGGTCATGCCTCTGCCGAAATGAGCGGACACTGACGATACCGATTATCTGCCTAAATCCGATAGCTATCGAGCGGAATCACTTCGATGATGGCTGATGGCAGTGGCGGTGAAGTCCTGAAGAGTTGGGGGAGCAAATGCCATTTTTACGCTGGTTCTTTTACACAATTCCATGAAGTTTAGCGTGGTTTTCTCTCCTAATATAGAGATGGCTGGCTTCCCCTCCCCTCCCCCTTTCCGCCGTCCCTGACTGATGGCTCCCGTTGCCTGCTTGTGGTCCGACAACATGACACGAGCCGCGAGTGGCGCCGCTGGTGGGCGGCTGCCCCGCTCCTGCTTTGCAGGCCCTCCAGCCCCCGCGCCGCGACACGCACCGTTACCATGTGGTCCGATGCGGGCACCTTCACATCACTCAGTGGAGGTGGCTGGGTGCGGTACCGCCGCCGCCCGCGGCTCCGGCTTCGACTTCAGCTCCGGCGGCCTGTGTTAAGGCTCGGGTCGTTTCGGAGCGTGGGCATGGAACGAGGAGGTGCCGTCCCGCCGCCCCGCGGTTCTGGCTCCGGCTCTGGCTCCGGCGGCCTGTGTCCGGGCACGGGCCGCTCCGGAGCGTGGGCATGGGACGAGGAGGTGTGGTGCCACCATCCGCGGCTCCGGCTCCGGCTTCGGCGGCCTGTGTTCGGTGGGGAGGGTGTACGGGCTCCGGTGTGTGGGCATAGCGTGAGGTGGTGCGGCGTCACCCCCTGCTGCCCTCAGGCTGAGCGGCCGGATGCATCTGACCCGTACGTCCGATTGGTGCGCCAGAGCAGCAGGTGTAGAATGACGTTGCTGTGGCCTATCGAGGTCGTGCACTTCCCCTAACTCATCTGGCGTCATCAGCGGGGGTGGACTGTTCCGGGCATGAAGTAGAACGTCTGCGAAATACACATCACAGCTGTTGCAGCATGATAGAAGAAGATGGGTGAAAAGTAGCGCAGAACATGACAGCACTGCTATGCAATCACCATATCTCAGTTGGGATGTCGCTTTCTTCTTGTAACGTTTCGGTTATAATGGTCTGAAGTTTTTCCAATTGCTCTCTATGATTTTCACGTCATAGAAGAAGGTTAACGACATGAGCTCACTTCACTAGAAACTTGTGAAATGTTGCCCAGGTTTCATGAAATATTCATGAACGCCATTCTACCCACTTCCATTTGACCGTCGAAGTGCCGCGCATTCTTTCCCCTTATGCCATTCAACCTGCCTGTGCATAACGTGCCAAACTGACGGAAGGCCTCGCCAATACAAGAGGCATCGTTTGACACAGCAACTACCGTGACCATCGTAGTCTGGACGCGTATGGACGTCCCCCAATCAGGAGAATCCTCCCGCGTAACGCCGGTCACTCCCTTCGCACCGGCCGTCCACTACTAGCAGCTGCAGCCCGTAATGAAGTGCGGAGCAGGGCCGCATACCGCCGGCATAAGTCATGCAGCGCCGTCGCCGTCGATCTGTGCGCGCAGCGTGAGGCCCGCACAATGGAGACCATGTTGACGCTGTACATCGGTTAATGGCGCGTAACTCAGCTCTGAACCGCGGGGGGTGGGGGGCCGCGCCGACAATTTATGACATTATTAACACGCGTGGAGATTTCGGCGGCCCGTCACTGCCGCCAGCGGGCCGGAGCTGGAGCTGGGTCGGGACGGCGAGGGGTCTAACGATTCTGGCTCCCTGGTTCCCCTTCATCCATGCCTTCTATCTCCTCCTCTTCGTCCTCTTCCTGCTGCTGCTACTCTCTCTCTCTCTCTCTCTCTCTCTCTCTCTCTCTCTCTTCTCTCTCTCTCTCTCTCTCTCTCCTCTCTCTCTCTCTTTCTCTCCCTCCCTCTCTCTCCTCTCTCTCTCTTTCTCTCTATCTCTTCTCTCTCTCTTTTGCTCTCTTACTCTCTCTCTTGCTCTCTACTCTCTTGCTTTCTCTTCCTCTCTCTTTCCCCTCTCTTTCCCTCTCTCTCTCTCTCTCTCTCTCTCTCTCTCTCTCTCTCTCTTTCCCTGTCTGTTTCCTCGCTCTCTTTCTCTCTCTCTCTTTCTGCCCTCTTTCTCCTTCTTCTTCTCTCTC